ACACACACACACACACACACACACACACACACACACACACACACACACACAAGGTTTAAGGTGTAAAAATATGTGAAATATTATTTATGCACTTAAAAGAAGAAATTGATTGCTATATTCCATTATTTTTATTTAAAAAAAAAATAGTTACAAAGGTGCCGCGATTTCCTTTTATATTAAGGTTATAATTTATTATCGGAATATCGTTAAAACATGATTACATTTTTTTTCTGGACATTATAAATAAAAAACCGCATTCATATAAGATATGTATAAGTATAATCACTTCTGCATATAAGCATTCACTCATCAATGAAGTTGTGTAGAAAAATAGCTAATAAGAAATTATTCTTTGATGATATAATAAAAATTAGCAGAATTAGCGGCGGAAGAACTGGCAGTCATTGGACTGCCATATTTCTGCTATTCAAATTCCGATTGTGCTCTGAAAGATTAAAAATCATAAGCATTACAATTAATCAAAGGAAAACTACATCAATCAACACCTTTTATACAAACTTTGTAAAAATGGTGCCAAGTATAGTAGCACTTTGTAAATAACGTTGTTCATTTTTATGCGCTTGCTGATGCCATTTTTTGCGTATAGCATTCCATCGTTCAATATGATCTTTCATTAATTGTTCTCGCGTTTTGAGAATTTGTCCTTCCTGTAATTACGTTACGTACAATTTGTATGTGTTATAATACAATTGTTAACACAAAAAATGTATTAGTATAAATCTTTCTTATTTTTAAAACTTTAACAGTAGCTATGAATTATTTTAATAATTCTTTTTAATCAACCTTTTATATGAACTAAGGTATACATGGGATGAGAATTAGAATCAAATTTGAGACCTGTCGACTATAAATCGATTACTTTTACATAGTCACGAATAACTGAATTATTAATATAAATTCAAATATACATTTGTCGAAATTATTGACTCACATAATCTAAGTTCAAATCATCTTTTTCTTCAAGTATAGGGGATGGAATACGATTTCTTGGTATGGCTTCTTCACGAGGCAAAGGAGGTGGTAAATAATGGACATCACTTAGCTCACCATCAGTACCAATTAAATTATTTGCCGTGTTAACTTCATTAATTATTTCTGGACTTGGACTACGCACTCTAATCACAAATTAATGTATTTATTTTAATTTTGCACAAATTTACGAATATAAAATTGTATAGAGAGAAAAAGAAATCGAGAAAGTATTTCTATAATGGTTTAAGTGGGCCGGGTGGTTTGGAGGGTAAAAAAAATTGATTTTTTTAAATTTTATTTTCGGATAGTTGATTGTCTTGAAAATATGTTGCCAAAACTGTTCATAGAAATAACGTAAGATAACGGAGTTATTCACGGTTAATTGAAATAGTGCACAGGTAAAAATTAGGCGCGTTTGAGTTTCGATCTCCGGCTGTTACTTCTTCGAACAAAGAAACATCTGCCGAATTTCTGTCCTTTTCTACATTTCTGTTCAAACAAGAGGATGAATCGTATTATGGTCCAGGAATTGCCGAATAAGAAAAATTTATTGTAAGTACTAAAAAAACATAAGTATTCTAACTCAAAATTTTAAACGCATTTTTCTTGAAACGTGTTTTTTCAAATTTGCTGACATATAGAGAGAAAACGGCTTAACGCACTGATCGCCATTTTTTACACATTTATTAAAACTATTTTCTCCATACGGTAAACCTAAAAAAATAACAATAATAAATTATTCAAAGGCTCCAATATTTATTTAACAAATAAATTAAGGAGAAATAGCCCATGTGAGCAAAAAATAAATAAATAGGTTACATACGTTTCGACATCGTAATTGTGTCCTCTTCAAGTGTAAACATAATGGGTGCTTTCCATTTGATGACACAAATCGACACAAGTGTCGTTCTATCTTTATCACTCTCTGAATGTCAACAAGGATAGAACGATGCTTGTGCCGACTTGTGTCGACTTGTTTCATCAAATGGAAAGCACCCAATATAGACTAGTATATAAAAGCATTCCAATAAAATAAAATAAAGTTGTCAACAGTAAAAAGTTATCAGAATTGCACTTATATCGAAATAAATCGTAATCCATTTAATAAAATGTTAACGGAATTAAAATCATTGTTAAAAGTATAGAAGCAGCATGAATACGTATCACAATCTAATTGCAATTTCTTAAATTCTAATGCTATTCTGCCGAGAACATATGGATTACCAAAAATTCACAAACCGAATAATTCTCTACGTATTATTGTGTCGTCTATTGGGAGTCCGCTTCACAATTTGGTTAAATTCTTACATAAGATATAGAATCTAGTTTAGAAAAACCATATAAACACGTAATTAATAGTTTTTAATTGGTCACAGATTTATCGAATCAAGAATTACCTGACGACACGACACTCATTTCACTTGATGTTGTTTCTCTGTTCACCAATGTGCTTATTGACTTAGTAATTAAACTTATTAAACAACGGTGGCGTTTAATACAACAATCCACTGTTTTATCTAAAGATAAATTTCTTAAAGCAGTCAATCTAATTCTTAATTCCATGTACTTTACATTTCATGATAAATATTATAAACAATCTTTCAGCGTACCAATGAGAGCCCCCGTCGCTCATAATTGCTGACTTTAGGCCCAGTTCCACAACTCACGGTTAACTCTTAACCGAGGTTCAATTTGTTTCTCATCTCTTTCCAATTCTAGAATTGGAAAAAGATGAGAAATAAGTTGAACCTCGGTTAAGAGTTAACCGTGAGTTGTGAAACTGAGCCTTAGTCATGCAAGAGTTAGAAAAGGCCTCTATAGAGAAATTATCTTTTAACTTATATTTTTATGTAAGATATATTGATATTGCACTTGCTATACGACCACAAAACACTTTACTAAATATATTTAATAATTTTCATCCTAGAATTAATTTGACTGTGGAGGTGGTGACCGCTTAAATTTTTTGGATGTTACTTTAATAAAATAAAACAACACCTTAATTTTTGATTGGTATCATAAACCGACTTTCTCCGCAGATATCTGATTTCTTGTCATTCAAGATGTCACAAAGTAGGCACAATTATAGGTTTGGTGGATAGAGTTATGACATTATCACATCCTAGTTTTCATGAAAACTTTAAATTGATAATAAATATTCTGATTAATAATGGATATCCTTTAGATTTCATTTTTAAGCACATTAAAAAGAGATTACTTGTGAATTTCCAAAGTTAGGATAATAAGAAAAAAACAAGCAAAAATAATAAGAAAAATAAAGTAATAATAAAAAGCAACACCACATTTTTTACTATTCCATATATTCCCATAATTGCGGACCAATTTAAAAGGTTTTTTAAGAATAATAGGGCGGTACGGTTGGCTCACATGTAATAAACACAAGGCATAAATAAACTAAGTTCTTTTACAAAGGCATAAAAAGACAAACTACCGTCTTGTTAACGTAGTCTACAAAATAAATTGCAAGAATTACAGTGCATCATACGTAGATCAGACTAAACGCCTATTAAAAACAAGAATTAAAAAACATTATAGCCATATTAATAGAAATACGGGACAGAATTCTGTTATCACAGAACATAGATTGGAATTTAATCATGATTTTGATTTGGATGTAATGTTCAAATTTTAGATGAAAAAAAAGTTTTCAATAGACGACTTATATCAGAAGCAATTCACATAAAAAAAGCAAAGAAATGGCTTGAACATACAAAATGATAGATTTATTAGACCCGCTTTATAATGATCTTATTTGTGTATAGATGCCACTTCCATAACTCGGGATTTTTAACTTGTTATAAACAATTCTTTATCTTGACCTCTCATTCAGTAATTTTATGTTCAGCATTTACTAATCAATTTGTACACAATATCATTAATCTGTTCTCAAGTCAAAAAAACATTATTTTAACTAATTATTTTTATGATTCCTGATATTGAATAAAAATTTTTATTCTACTTTATTTTATTATAGTGACTACCTTTCAGTTTGAATATCCGTCAAGATACGATAGACAAAGATAGTAGTTATCTTATATAAAGATAGTAGTCTTTACAGTTTAACAATGTTTTTTCAATTCTGGTAACTTTTTACTGTTGACAACCTTATTTTATTTTATTGGAATGTTTTTATATACTGGTCTATATTATGTTCATACTTGAAGAGGACACAATTGCGATGTTGAAACATCTGTAACTTATTTTTTAATATATAACAATTAATTTCACAAAAAACATCCTGTGCGTGCTTACATGGGCTATTTCTTCTTAATTTATTTGCTAAAAAAATAATAAATTTTTCAAAACAGTAATAGTTTTTTAGCAATTTAATGGGGGAAAAATAATTATTAAAAAAGGATTTTTTTTTTTATAAAGAATTTTAACAAATCGCGATTTTTTTAAATTTTGTTAGGTTTACCGTATACATTATTAATTACAAATTAATTTGATTTTTTTATTTCAGACGACTAGTTCTGGCTGTACAATGTCAACAATTTAACAAAATCTCATGTGAACACGTTTGCCGCCATTGTTACCATTGTTGCCATTTCAGCACATTTTAATTAATAAAAATTCATACTTATTGCATAAAGTGCAAATAAAATATAGGTCCAAACGCAAAATTGATAGCTGTAACCATTTTTCCACAAAAAAATTTACAAAAAATCATTGATTTTTTGACCTCCCCAAACCACCCGGTCCCCTTAATTTAATCATTAAAATATTGTCTTTTGCATTCTTATTATATAAGTATTTTCAAATTCGCACCCACGAAGTACAAGACATGAAATTTTATGCTAAAACAAATAACTTTTTCCTTTAACGAAATCGCGTCTGATAAATAATTTTTGTGTTTATTTGTTAACTTCAACCTGCTCTCCTGCAAAAACTACTTACTGGACGCAATTTTATTAAAGGAAAAAGTTGTTTGTTTTAGCATAAAGTATCGCGTCTTATACTTTATGGGCGCGAATTTGAAAACACCCTATATATAAGTTTTTAAATTATAAGAAATGCAAAAAAATATTGCAGTATAATTAAGAAATATAATATTAATTATCATGCACATGAAAAATTCCACAGTATGATAAAATATTTTAAAAGAGAATCACTTAAAACTTAATATAATATCAAACAAATATATATCATAATATATATCAAAACAAATAGTATCTATATAATTTTACTTACTTAGGGGCCAAATGAGGATTTCTCGGTTGATTAGCCATCCAAGCACGACATATTGGATACAATGGTGTGTCTTCTTGAAATTGAGCTAAATCGACACTGCGATCAAATAATTTCATCACATATGTATGATGGAACGCTGTGTCAGTCTGTATTGGCCGACGACGTCTGACTCTCCGTGGAACATTCATGGATTTTGTCCTAAATGTCACAATTACTGAAAAATTAGTTTATCTCGAATAATGTTGTCTCAACGTAATTATAAAAGGATTTTGAGATTTACATTTTTTTCATGGGATGTTTATAATCCGAAATAGGACTGTCATCTGACTCTGCTGATGAACCAGTGTCACTATGGTGTAATAATTCTCGAAGAGCGCCTTTTAAACGATCCCTTGCTACAAGAACATCACTATCTCCTACATAAACATAATTAATTTTATAATATTTAATATATCAACATAATTTGCTGTTTTATACATCATTACCTATTTCATTTTTTATTTCTACTTTTATCCGTCCTGGCGTTATTGGTGGAGGTTGAATATTTCTTTTCTTCCCCATCTAATCATATTATCAAAGTTTTAGATTAATCTAAGTTAATAAAATTTAATGTTAATACGCATTTATTTAAATGTAAAGCTACATATATGAGCTACATATAATATGAGCTATTAAGATAATTGTTAATGTAACATTAATTTATCATAATTAATCAATAAAAAAAATTTGTATAAATTCAGTAAACAAAAAAAAAATTACTTTCAACGATGCTTTTGAACTACAGAATAATTATTTTACTGTTAATATCTTAAATTTGAATTCATCGATACTTTGGCTTGCATTCGTTTAGTGCAAGAATATATTTTGTATATACCTGTAACAAATTGTTAAATACTGTAGTTTGTGTTGTAAAACAATATAGAACATCACAGAGAGCAAATTTCGTCTTACTTTTCCTGTGATTACATTAGACAATAACGACTGCACTACCGTTCAATAACAATCGCATTTACTTCCATATACTTCTAGTTAGTTCTACTTATTCTACTAGATTTTTCAGAAGTAAATTAATAAATAACCTCACTCTTTAGCCTCTTTAGCATTTCAATTCACGTCTGCACAATGCAGCGCAGTAAACGCAATTGGATAGAAAAAGAGAAATGACAATAAGTTCAGCTACACTGTACTTTCTGCACTTGGAGTGAAATAGAATCACATGCGTGAGAGAAAAAGAAATCTATAGCACTGACGTCATACTCTACACGGTGTTCGAAAAAGTTTAAGCAATGTGTATACTACGTGATATATATAGTATTGTTATGACGAAGTTATCATTGACAAAATGCTTTTATCGCAGATAAAAGAAACTATTATATTAGAATATATTATGTTAAATAACTAAGAAAAAAGTACATATATATATATTTAATATATTTGTGGACTGTAACATGGTTGTGACGCTATAAGACTTCGGAATGCATTGGAAATTATCTGCTAAAATTCTTATATTTTGTATGGTAGCAGATATTTCTCTTGCCTCTGATTATTCCAAGCATAATGACAGTTACAGATGTAGATTAGGCTCGAAAACTCCTTATAGATGTATAGCTAATTATGATGAATCAACATTAGAATATCCAGGTATTGCAATATCATTAATATCTTTGATGCATACGTAAAGCTCTTAACGTGTATTTATTGTCATTTGATTTACAGATTGTGTGGAGAAAAAGATTTGGTTGATTTTTCGTCATGGAACTCGATATCCAGGCAAGAAGTACATACCTCGTATGATAGAAGACTTACCAGAACTGCAACATGTAATATTAAAAAATTATGAGAATGGAGCAACAAATTTGTCAGCTGATGAAGCAGCTCTGTTTAAAAAATGGAAACTAACGTTTACTCAAGGAAACATGATGAAATTGGCAGTGGAAGGAGAAAATGAAATGATTGATCTTGGAGAAAGATATCAGGCAAGATTTCCATCTCTAATGCCAGAAGCTTTTAATAATCAAACATATAAAGTATGTACAACAAAATATCCAACTGTATTACATACATGTTCTATATTTCTTCCTTCATCACCAGCTAAATTTCAGTTTAGATTTACTGCCACACAACGTACAGAAGAAAGTGCAAGACATTTTGCTGTTGGTTTATTCGGTTGGCATAATAGCAAAAATGTTTGGTATCCATTACCAGTATATCGAGATCGAGTGATAAGAGTAAGATTTTATTATTTTTAAATTCTCAGGTATAATTTACTCTGCTCCTAATTTTTTTAGTTCTCTAGGTACATGATTATTTTGTATTCCTAGTTTTATAAAGCTTGTCCTCGCTGGCGCCAAGAAGTTGACAAGAATTTAGATGCAAAACTAGAGAAAACGAAATTTTTGGATAGCAAAATTGTTAGAAATATGTTAGACAATATTAAGAAGCGCATTGGTCTCAATATTGATTATGGTTAGTATTTATTAAATATGTTGTGTATAAATTAAACAAATATCAATTAATTGCTGCTAATATTTATATATGTCAATTGTTATATATAATTGATATTTCAGAAACTGTAAATTTAATGTACACAACGTGTGCTTTTGAAACTGCTTTAAATCAAAGTATAATATCTCCCTGGTGTAAAATATTTTCATCAAATGATTTCAAAGTAAGATTTAAATTAAAGTAAAATACATTTTTTATACGGATAAAAATTTCATTATGTATTCAATCCTAAATTCATATTTTATAGATCTTTGAATACGTAGAAGATCTAGAATTCTATTGGATCGACGGATATGGCTATCCATTGACTTATGAGCAAGCGTGCGCTGTCTTAAAAGATATGTTTGATTTCTTTGGGTATGCAGATTTATATGCATTGCAATAATCAATCTAATATGAAGTTCTTGTGTTTTTCTGCAATCTTTCAGACAAAATAAAAAAATGACAAAAACAGGAGGATGCTTTAAATCTTTTTGCTTACATATCAGAGATTTTCATTAATGAAAGAGAAAACTTTAATCAATATTTAGTTCATAAATATAAGATTGCAATTTTAATGCAGCTTTATTCTATACATTTGTGGAATTTTGTCTAATTGTAAATCTTGCCAATTAAATATAATTTAATTGTGTTAACGTAGGACTGCGTTCAGAAACCTCATCTGGATACATCTATGTATTACTAAAGATAAGATGATACATGGGTGCATCCAGATAAAGTTTGAACACAGTCTAATATTAAGATTTTATTCGGACTGTCAAGAATTAAACACTAAGTATAAGCATATTCAGGCCTATGACGGTCAAAGCTAGACTTTTTTGCCTAAATAATTGCCAGTGAATTATCTATATCCTATATATGTACATGCATATATATCATATTTTTGTAGTTATTTAAACTACCATTTATTTAAGGTTTTCAGCACATTGTCAATTTAATTTAACTTGTGATATTATTGCAGTAGTTTAATTGCGTTAGAAAAGTCCGGAAAAATTTCGGTGCGCAGTTTGAATAACTACAAAAATATGATATATATGCATGTACATATATAGGATATAGATAATTCACTGGGAATTATTTAGGCAAAAAAGATCTAGCTTTGACAGTCATAGGCCTAAATATGCTTATACTTAGTGTTTACAGTCCAATATATTATAAGAATGTTATTATTTCTCAGATCTAATGAAGTGGCAGTGACAACAGCTTATTTTACACATTCCGGCACGATTTTAAAATTAATAGCCTTACTCGGACTAGCCAAAGATGCGCATCCTTTAACGCATGACTCCTTCGTATTACGCAAGAAGGAAGATAAAAGAGCTTGGAGGAGTAGTATTATTGATACGTTTGCAACTAACATGGCATTTATTTTATATGAGTATGTTTCTTTTTTAAAATCATGAAATTATATATATTACATAATATATATTGTCATATATAATTATCTAATTATTTTCGTTTTAGTTGCGAATATTACGGACCCAGTGTCTTATTCATGCTTCAGGAACGACCGGTATATTTACCAGGCTGTCCGAAAGACATGCCATGTCCATTAAATATTATGAGAGCAATATATCCAGATCGCGATGAAGAATGTCAGTTTGATGCTATGTGCCATATAACAAAACAAGACAATTGATGCAAAAAATATTTTTGCAGTAACGCCATATACATATGCATATGCATTCTATTTATTTACATATCTAAATAAAAATATGTGAAAAAATTTTAATTTTTGAAAGAAGATATTTTTCTAAGAAGTTTTACTGAAACGTACCTGGTTCATTTTATGATGGATTCAGAATGTTTTTTAAAATGTACAGTAAAAGAGATCGAAATTTATTTTGTGTATCTCACTATGTACTTAAATAATCAATAAATGATTCAATCATTATTAGATTTCTTTTTATTTATATATAGTGACAATGTTCCTAGCATTAAATGAAATTGATTTCCGCGTACAATATTAGTATACTTGTCTACAAAACTAATGAGGAGTAAGTTGATAAAAAACGTATATTGAATAATGAATATGATTTTAATCTACATTTTGCAGCAAATTAACAAATACTTAACTAACGAATTTTTATTCAAAATTGTTGAAAGCATCCAAGCCCTTACAACAAAATATTTTGATGAAGACTATAAATGTTGCATTTAGTATCTCTCTGTCTAAGATACAATGTTTGGAAATATTTATAATATTCAGTAGTGGAACTATTGAATACAGTATGTGTATGTATAGCCTACTTTTTCACAACAATTTACTCAAGAATCCTTTGATTTGAAATATTAGCTACACGTATTTTAAATAAGATTATTTTTCAATAATATGTATACATAAGTTTGAAATATCGGCTTTTGTGAGTTTGGATGCGTTCAACATTTTTATATATAAATTTTTTATAGTTGATTCGTTATAACTTTAAGAACTCGTAAATCAAAGGACACTGTCTTCTAATGAATTATTTATATCGTTTCTGTCATCTCCCATCATGTCCTGCAATAAAGTACATAACATACATATATAATTATAAAATAGTAATTGATGCTAAATATATAGTATCAATGCAATAGAAATTATAATATTACCTGCAACACTTCAATAAGAGCTCTTGCTTCATCCAACATTAGTTTATAAATACGACTTTCTTCTTCTAACTTTTCGTTACGTTTTGCGAGTTCTTTATTTTCTTCTAAAGTATCCTTAAGCGCTAATCGCCTCTTTTCAGCTAATACTTGCCAGTAATTTTCACTCGGACCAGCTAAATCTGAAAGAAATGTTTTAATAGAAAATTGATATCTTTTATATATTTAGTTTTTAAAAATATGCAGAAAGAAAAGGAGAAATAGAATATATTATTTTAAATGTACCTGTGCATGTTAGATCCTCAGCATCAATTTCTCCCTTTTCCTCTTTCACAGTTTGAACAGCTTTGTTATTGGTTGTCACTTTTACTTGATTTTTAGAAGCATTTTTTTTCTTTTTTGTAGGTATATTTCTAAAATATATATATAGATTTAACTTCAATTCTTTCCATAAAATTTTGTCATTCTTTCAAATAATGATCTTATAAGAAATCACCTTTTCTCCATGTATTCTTATTAGGCATAAAGTACAAATGTAAATATATTTACAAATATTTATTACAGTAAGCGTTTACCAGCAAGGACACAGTTAGATACAGTGTAACACAGTGAATTATTTTATCCTTGTTTAATGTAGGCAAACAACAAGGATGTAATGATTCACTATGTTACACTGTATCTAGTGATGGGTATTCAATCATATCTCTTGCAAATTTTCAATTAATTTAGTCATTGCTCTGCTTCGAAACATTTTGAATATTATTTGAAAAAGTACACTCTAAAGTTTTGATAGATTTTGAAATTCTTGATAGGTCTTGAAAGTCTTGATAGATCTTGAAAGTCTTGATAGGTCTTGAAAATCTTGATAAGTTTTGATAATTCTTAATTTCTTTAATTAAAAAAAATTTTGTTTGAATTGAAGAAATTTGAACTTTCTATAGGGTTAAAGAAAAATTTCTTTGATTTGAACGTCATTTCTCTTTTTGATGTATTATAATTATTTATATTTATTTAATATTTTTACTCTCTAAAATTAAAC